CATGTAAATAGAGAAATGCAAACAACTGAAATAATTACTTGATATGGGAGTCCCCTCCGTGTGCTGTGACTACTACTAATGAATAAAGAAACTGCCTTGGTCTTTTGATAGGGAAGAATTTAGGTAGGCAGAGAGGACTGGACTGAATTCTGGGAGGAAGAAGGTAGAATCAGGGAGACGTCATGGAGCCGCAGGAGATAGACATGCTGAAACTTTGCTGGTAGGCCACAACCTCGTAGTGATATACAGATTAATAGAAATGGGTTAAATTAATATAAGAGTTAGCCAATAAGATGCTAGCTAGAGCTAATGGGCCAAGCAGTGATTTAATTAATAGTTTCTATGTGATTATTTCAGTTCTGGGAGGTAGAAACAAATAAGCGACCACCCCGCAACAAACTGGCACCCTCGTGGCCAACTAAATCCATGTAAAACTTGAGAAGGCTTGAAAAGGAATTCTAGACAAAAAAAAAAAAAAAAATAGAGTTTAACACAGCTTTCTGTTGTTTGCTGGTGGCTTGCCACAGCTCCCTTAAGAGGGGTTTTCCTGACTTAGGAGCAGCGGCAGAAAAAAAGCTGAGCCGTTTTGAAATGCAGGCTTTCTGGGATGTGCTGCGGCACAACCACTGGCTCTTTCAGTATTTGGATGGGGTTTGTGAAAAACGTGCTGCAACTTGCTTGATGGCAACGTGGACCAGGTTTGTGCCGGGAACTGGGTGCAAGGCTCAGAGGTGCAAGCAGCTCTGACAGGAGCAAGCAGGCAGTACCATATATATCAATGTAATGGTGCAGCTTAAGTTTTAGACAGGGTGGGGCAAGCACACAGTACCATATTTGACCTAGTAATGTAGCAGCTTAAGTTTTAAGAAGAGCTTACCATTTTAAAAGGACAGTAAAGAATTACAGATAACACAATAAGGACATATTCAGACATGAAAGAACTCTAAATGAGACACAGTGTTGGATAAATGTATGTAGGCTTGAGAGAGAGAAGAAAAAGAGTACAGAGAGTTAAAAAAGAAGTAAATGATTTAAGAAAAAAGTCTTTAAAGAGACAGAGTACAGATAGTCATAGATTAAAAGGAGAAAAGAAAAATAAGCCATGGAAAAATGGAAAATTCACAGAAAGTCTGGATTATGTATATTATTGTGTTATCTTTGAATTTTTTGAGTATGAATGAGCTAAGTACAGAGAGACATTTCATTGTATGGACTGCTAAGCTAAACCAGCATGTATATTATAAAGGTATCATGACCTCCAAATTTGGTTCTAAGGATAAACTGCTTGGGAAAAGAGGTTCTTCTCTTGTTCCCACAGAAGATGAGAACCTGTTGACTGCTTCCAGATCAATTATGGTCTCATGGAACAAGACCCTCTGAAAGATTGCTGTGAACACTCCCACAAAGAAAATCCTTTGTCTAACTGTTGACTGATATGAACCTAGCACACAGGATACACCACTAAAGACCTGATTAATAGCATCCCCAAATAGCAGGAAGTACTACTACCATACGAAAGAACTATGCCTACATTACCAAATATTGTTTATAATTGTTTACATTTAAACGGGGTATGTTATAGAGATTTGCATTGGTATGGATCTTGGTTTATTGATACAAATTTAAGGTCAATTTTGTTATATGTATATTTCTGCTAAAAAATGTAATGTATAATTAAAAAATAAAAGTTAATAGATAATCATCTATAATAGTCAAGCTTGTAGATTTTCTAGATGTATAGAGATATATTTCAGATGGATAGGCATCCTTCAAACCTTTCAAACACTTTAGAATATGGCATTTTAAAATGTTTAAAAACTTAAGATTTTTCATGACATTGAGACACATCTGCACCAAACTACTTCAAGAGGAAGTCAGGCATCGAAGAAGCTACTTATGGAGTTGGTTAGCCATAAGAGCAAGAACCTGCTCTTGCCTGAACTGCTTAACTGGACATGCAATACCTGCAGAGAAATGACTGCTGAACTTGCCTAATGGTGAGAGATGATCCTTTGGGGTTCCTGCTTCATAAAACTGTCTGCGCAATATTCTGCAGGATACAGAAGTGTCTCAACTACCTTTGAAATTTCCTGCTTCAAGGAAAAGTCTTCCGGATACTATGGGCCAGTAGGCTGAAGATGGATGCCCCAACGGTACAGAAGAACTTTAGGTGATTGTCCAGGCAGTGCATGTTTCTGTCAATTCGAGAGTTTTGGAAGCTGCTTACAATGCATTTCCTGTTTACTTAGGTAATAATATATCCTTCTGGAGTCTTTGATGGAGTTGAAGAATTTATAGTTATAGTTTTCCTTAGTTATGATAAAAGATAAAGTAGCTATAAATATTGTAACTGTAATTCTTGCTTGATACCTGTTATATGTAATTTTACCATGTTAAAGTTAAAACCTTCCTTTTTATTTAAACAGAAAAGAGAAGGTGATGTGGGATTCCCCTTTGTATGCTGTGATTACCATCAATGAATAAAGAAACTGCCTTGGCCTGTTGATAGGACTGACCTTAGGTAGGCGGAGAGGACTGGACTGAATGCTGAGAAGAAGAAGGTAGAGTCAGAGAAGCGCCATGGAGTCACCAGAGTCAAACATGCCGAATCTTTGCCGGCAAGCCACTGCTTCGTGGCAATATACAGATTAATAGTAATGGGTTAAATTAATATAAGAGTTAGCCATTAAGAAGCTAGAGCTAATAGGCCAAGCAGTGATTTAATTAATACAGTTTCTGTGTGATTACTTTGGTTCTGGGCGGCTAGGATAAGCAAGTGGCCTCCCTGCAACAATTACTGATGCCTTAAAGGTAATCAATCACTAACAGGCTGTGGAGGCAGTTCGTCAATTCAGCAATTGCATAGCAGGTGCAAGGGCCTGAGTTTGACCCTCTAGCACTGCAAGAACAAAGAAAAGAAAAAGAAATTTAAAAAATGGAAGAAAAGAGCAGCGTGGAAAAGAAGCAAAGGAGAGGGATATGGAGAAAACTGGGTTGTTAAGATCCAGGGAATGTTGAGAAGGCTTCAAGTAGACACATATAAAAGAAAAATCACATTCAAGACTCACGTTTTCTCTGTCCTCTTCCTTTTTTATTGGTTTCTCACTCTTCACCAAGCCATGTACTTTAAATTTAATAAACATGAAATACCCATGTCCACAGCATCACAATATGACAGCATGTACAGAGTGCATCCAAACACATGCCACTTTATAACTCACGTGTTCTGGCAAACAAGCACTTCCTCATTACCCATCTACATTAGACTTGCTAAGTAGGTCTTGAAAAGTAAATCTTATAGCTTTTGATGTCTGAACATTACTACAAGAGTTAAATGCCACTTCTCCCAAGCTCTGAAGGCCTTTCCTAACAATGACAAAAATTTACTTTGTCTTTTCTACAAATAGAAAGCTGCTACATGTACCATTGTTTACACGAAGAAAAACATTAGCCCATAAGGAAGCTGTGATGTCATATTTTACAATAAAATGGTTGTGAAACTTTGTTAGCTATTTTGAAATAGTCTGTAACAGTTCCCATGAAATGAGCATTTCTCAGACAATGCACATGCAAAAATGGGTGTGACTGGTTTTAGAAGAACACCCAATTGTGTTTTTAACCTGTCAGGAGAGTTTGCTATTGAAAGGACTCACCAAAAATATTATCTCAATAAAGCCTGTCTTTTATCATTTTATGCCTGAAGCTGTGCTTCAAGACAGAGGCAGACTCCCATTTCTCACACAGCATAGATGTTTAAAGAAGAAGGTATCATGAGGCTAGTAACAGGCAGGCTGCCAGCAACAAAGCCAAATGCTATAATTCAGAGTTGAGCAGCAGAGCAAAGACATGCAGTCTGCAACAGGTAAGCTGAGAAAAGCTGGTGGAGGTGAAGCAAAGACCGGAAGTTGGAAGTTGACTGGACAGCTCCTAGGGTCCTGTCGACATCTTATTTTATACGGTATGTCAGTGGTTCTTAACCTTCCCGATGGAGTGACTCTTCAATACAGTTAGTTCTTCATGTTGTGGTGACCCCCCCAACCATAAAATTATTTTCTACTTCATAAGTGCAATTTTGGTACTGTTATTTTACATTCCTGCTATAAAGTTAGACCCGATCTCAAAAAAATTCAAAGAATAACATACTCACATAACTTCAAAGATCTATATACAATATGCTTTTTAGCTACCAAGGGAAAATATACTTTCCTGGAGAAACTAAGCACACATCACCTCAATAAGTGAAAAGACCCAGTTGGATATCACACCAAATGACCCTGACACAATACCCAGACTTTCATGCTTCCTCATGGATGTGTATTAAACATGCAACAGCTAAACAAGAAAAAAATTAAGAGATCCAAACCAAGAACATTCTAAAATAATGTCCTTGCTCTGACAAATTATTAAGATTAAGACCTATAAAGAAAGATAAAGAAAGGACAGGACATAGACCTGATTTTTTTAAAAATGACTAAAGCTATAAAACAAACTGAATTGAAAAAACAAACAAACAAAAACATAAAAATGCTATATGGCTGATATTTTACTCTTTATACACATATGAAGTGCATTTTTAAAATTAATAACTTGGTCAAAGCCATACAGTTAAGAAAAATATTCTAGCCAGCATTAGTACCAGCTCTAATGTTATTAGCATTATACCCAATTAGTAAGGTTGTTACTAACCTGGCAAGCTGTATAAAAGAGCTATAATCTGAATTCAGTTAAAACTGGGCATTACTTCATATTATTTAAAAGAAATATTCAAATGGGTTCCCTAATTGTATCAAGGTTGGGCATTTCAAGCTATCACAGAAAACATTTACCATATACATGACCTTATTTTTAAAGTATTATCAAAATATAAACAAAAGAAAACTATGGGCATGTGGTGAACAAGAATTACAGTATGAGCTGTTGTAATCTGCAAAACCTGAAACACAGCCTATCCTGCTGACACAGCAGAATTCAAGTTTCCATACTTTCACATGTCCACATACCTTTTCCTAGATGTGTGTTTATGCTCATGTATCTAGCTGTTCCAGTAAGGCTTTTGTGTTCTCTGTATGGTATATGCTTCTTTGTCTCTGGATCAATATATTCCTTTGCCAACCCAAAATCTATAATATGAATGACTTGTTGGGTTTTGTTTCCTGGTCGTCCTATTAGAAAGTTCTCAGGTTTCACATCTCTGTATATCAAGTTCTTTGAGTGGACATACTCCATGCGAGAAATCTTAGTGGAAAAAGAGAAAAGGATTTTTATTTTAGATTTTCACTAGCGAACAAAATCATGACAAAAACATGACATAACTTTTACAATAAAAGTAACATTATAAAGAAAACAATTAGAAATTGTTTCAACCCTTTAACGTCAAAAAGATGTCAGTCTTCAGTTCCTCAAAGAGCATACATCCATTTATGACTTAAAATGTTTGTCTTTGCTGTTATGGTCACAGATAAAAGAAAGCGTCTGGATTTTACAAATGCATTTCCTAGCAGCAAGTCAAACTCAATCACTATTTTCATGATAGCTTATAAAGTTAAAAAAAAAAAAAACTTTACAGATTAAAACTAAAAACCTTAAATTCAAAACTAAAGACACACTCTTAAAGTTAACATTATTCTTTCTCAATTCAACATTCAGGCAATTTTTATAATCAAATAAAACTTAAAAATGTGATTTTTACCTATTAAAAAAATTAGCATCAAAAATTAACATTATTCAATATTTTTTTCATAAGAGATTTCATTTTTCCTAGCATTAAACACTTTAAAATCTTGAAACTGGAAAATGCTGAATTCCAACTATAATAATAAAGCATGTATTTTTTATTAATTTTATTAATATAAACACAAATATTTGTATTAACCACATATACATATACTATATTTATATATAAATAAATAAACTATGAATATAGCATACTTATATTAACCACTTTTCAGATTCTCAAACAATGTTTACCATACAAAAGAACAGAACTTTAGATACAAGGCAAATGTTCCATTTGTGGCAAACCTGGTTACCAGTGCCATGTCAACATAGAGTCCACGGGCCATTCCAATCTGTTTATTAACAAACTGTGGCTCATATTCCTGTAACCATGCCCTAATTAACAATATCTTTTGAGCACTTTCTAGGTCACAAAAATTCTTTTAATGCAGTCTTTAACAGCTATATATGACTTTATGACTGTTACCCAATTCACCCTGTTAGCTCACACCATAGAATGTTACTCATTATTTTACAATTCTATCTACACCTGTACATAAAACAATATTTTATTGACCTAAATATTTCCAACATAAATCTCTAGAAGTAGAATTAATAACTATGTGAATAAAACAATTTCAAGACTTTTGTAGCATCCTTATATTGCATTTATGTTAAAACTGTCTAAAACTCATCTCCAATGTTTCCTCATAGGTTCCCAGAAATTTAAATACTGAAGTATACTGCTCATTAACTCTTTTCTTCTTTTATTGAGTCATAAAAGTCAACTTTCAAGATTAAGATCTCTGTTTCTGAGGGTTCAAAGTTTTCATCTTACATATATTATAAAAACACCAACCCTTGAAGTATGTATCCTGTCCTTAAACAATTAAAATATTAATTTAGATACAACTAAAATGAACTTGACTCAGTAATTTTACATTCTATGCATCCTAGAAAGACAATATAAAAAGCAAAAACCATTTCTATTATATGAATCGAATGTTCCATATGAAGAGGTCAAAAAGCTTAAATAAAACTTTTACTTAAATATATGAACACCAGGCATGATGGTGTACACATACAAAACCAGCACTCGGGAAGTAGAGGCAGGAGGATCAGTAATTCAAGACCAACATACACTATATAGAAGTTTGAGACTAACCTCTGGTTACATGAGACTGAGTCTAAAAAAAATAATCAAAAATATAGAGAGACTGAGGAATAGGGCGAGGGAGGAACAAAGAGAGGGAAAGACAGAGAAATGGGGAAAACTTTTGATCAAAGTAGTTGTTCAAGCAAGTTCCAACACCCTGCTTTACTTACCAGTTGTATAGCTATCATAAGAACCGTTTTAAGAGAAAACGTTCTATCACAAAGATCAAACAAATCTTCCAAACTAGGTCCCAGCAGTTCCAGCACCATAGCGTTGTATTTACCACAAGGGCCAAAATAGTAAACTTGAGGTATACCATCTAGGAAAAAAGAAAAGTTATTTAATAATTCTATCATCTTATATACTAAGCCTTTTACCTGGAGAACCTATAAACAATATTTTAATTTTCCTAGTTTTAAGCACTTTAACAGTACATTTATTTTTTTCCAGGAGGAAAAAAAACCACCTTTTCTGATTAAACCTCCTTCTTCTCTAAACCCACTCCTCGATGTCCACATGGCAGCCCAGTACACCTGTAGAGTAGCTGTGTCTCTGAAACCATACAAAAAGTACTTTATAATATCTCTACAACCTCACCTGCTAAGCTTTATTAGCCTTCTTTATCTAGAGACTAAATAGAGGCTTAGACAGTAGGAAAGATGCTACTTTTATTGAACTAAGTAGTCACTGTTGTCTTTAATAACTCCATGTTTGATATCCTACCAAGATCAACCCAAATATCTTCCCTTAAGTATGGGAAATTCCTAAGACTTCACCCTTTCACCCTTATAATTAGGGGTATGTGTGTGAAGAAGTATAATACACAAACACACAAATGTGTACAGTCCCTATCAGCAGATCTTAAGTCAATCAAAAGACAGAGTGCAGGCCTAGATGGGTCTAACCTTATCTGATCCCAGCAGCATTAAAAGTTACTAATCTCTATGTTCTCAATTTAACAATCTATAGTAAAGCATTTCCACTCTTTAGTTTGTTCTTCCTGAACTGTAAGAGGTAAGTAAATTAGATCATCAAAGTCTGTCAATAATACAGGATATAAAAATGGACAGATTATAGAGTTTCTTACTTCCTTCTGACTCGCCATCCACTTTCTAATAAAGCTGTAGAGAAGTAATCTCTGAATAAAGTCTCAAATAACCGGGGTTATCATATGGCTAGTATTTTGTTGTCAGTGTTTTTCAAATGCTACCCAAAATGGAAAAACACTTAAGGGTCAACACTGTCTTTAATCACTAAATATTTATTAATCATTGATGACATCTTAATGGGAACATAGGACTATATTATGCATATAAAAAACCAAGTAAGATACCACAACTGAAGAAATGCAAAATTGGGTTACATTTTAAAAATCCATCAATATAACTCACATTCAATACAATGGGGGGGGAGTCATTTTTTATAACACAAAAGAAACATCTAACACAACTCTCAGGATAATTTGGATTATAAGCTGGTAAAGTCTGATAAGCACACCTTTGATCTACTACAAACTAGCACCATACTTAATGGTGAGAGAGTGAATTTATTCCACCAACAGCTGGGAACAAGCCATGAACGTCCACTTTGAACTCTTGTATTCAACCATGCTTTAAGAGAACAAACAATCAAAATGGAGTCACCCAAGATAAAGTTTCAAAATATAAGACATGTTTAACTGACCTTTCAAGAAACCAGGAGAAATGTTCTACATGGGCTAGTTTCAGCATGGTGCTTAAATTCCCTCTGCTCTAATCCTCACACAAAGTAACGTGACATAATCTGACGTTAATCAGTCATGTGTCATCTACTGTTCAGTCTCCCTTTCCTATCTTCAGAGTATAAAACCACTCTCCTCTGCTCAGCTCACCAAGATACTTAATTTCACATTATGGAAATAAGTTTTACAGAGTTGTAATTCTGGCAGTCTGAGAAGCTGGGGTCTTACCTGGGCTGTTTACAGAAAGACACTGATGCAGTTTTTGTTAGTTTTCTTTTCTTTGTCAAGACAGGGTCTCATTATCTAGTGTTGCCTAGCCTGGAACTCATTATTCAGTTTATGCTGGCCTCCAACTCAGATCCACCTGTCTCTGCATCCCCAGTGTCAGGATTAAAAGTGTGAGTCATCATACCTGGTCCTGGTACAGTCTTTTAAAGAAGAAAACTTGGGCTGAGCATATAGCTCAGTGATAGAATTCTTGCTTAGTGTTCATAATGGCCATTTGGGAACTTTTTATACTAACGAGAATTTAAGTCAACACAATCCAAACAAAAGGTCTCTGAGATTCTCAAAAACCTTAAAGGTACAAAAAGACCCTCAGGCCCCAATATCTGGGATGTGTCATTTTAAGAGACTTCTTGGTACCATAAGTTCTCTCATTACAGCAGCACCAGTGTAAGAGAGGACAGAGAAAGCAGATTTTCTTAAAATTTCTTTTTACTGTTGTTTTGTGATCAGGTCTCATATGTTGTCCATGATGAGTTCAAACCTGTGTCTCTCCTGCCTCATATTTCTAAGTGGTGGGATCATAGACATGTGTTGGTATACCTGGATAATTTCTTAAGTTTGCTAAAACATGATTCTGAAAAGCATGATCAGGTAACTGATGTGGAATTTCCCACTGTATGCTGTGATTACCATTAATGAATAAAGAAACTGCTTTGGACCTATAGCAGGGCAGAAGTTAGGTGGGCAGGGAAAGTTAAGCTGAATGCTGGGAGAAAGATAGGTGGAGTCAGAGAGAAGCCATGCAGCCCCTGCCGGAGACAGATGCTGGGAACTTCACCCTGTAAGCCACAGCCATGTGGCGATACACAGATTAATGGAAATGGGTCAAATTAATATGTAAGAGTTAGCCAATAAGAAGCTAGAGCTAATGGGCCAAGCAGTGTTTTAATTAATACAGTTTCTGTGTGATTATTTCGGGGCTAAGCAACCAGAAACTAACGAGCAGCCTTATTCCAACAGGTAACTCTGTGAAAAAGATTAATTCTAGACATCACTGATGTTTACAGGGCTTATACAATAACCAAAATTCTTCACAAAAAGTACAATTAAAATTCCACACATTATAGAATTCTCTACATTCATTTTACAGCAGATATAACCAAGGAGTTCTTAAAAGATGGTAAACGTTGAAAGTGTTAATAACCAGATGGAAACATGGAAAGAACACAGAAGTCATGACTTTTTACAAAGCACAGATTGAGAAGGCAAAGGGGGCACCAGAAAGAAGGAAGGGAGTTCCCTAACGTCTTAGAAGACAATACTGTGAAGTTATAATTTTAGTAACAGCAACTACTGCTATCACCAAATTAGTGTAGATCTACATAGTTGAAAGAACCTCAAAAAGTCAAGTCACTCACTTGAGAAACAATATTTCCCATATGAATACTGAAAACAGTCAAAGTTTTAGATTAATAACATGATAACACTCCTGCTGGAGAAGAGTCAAGTGGCAGCAGGGAATGTGCTGCAAAGCAGGTACATTTAGCTAGGGCTTCACTAGGCTATCCACTGGAAGAGGACATTCCACGTGCACAATGAATACAAATGTGAAAATAACAGCTTCATGCAAGTAATAGTAAGTTTAAAACAACTAGAAAGTAGACAGTAGAAAGAGAAAGAATATGCTCACGGATGTTAAAGAGGCTATAAATTAATGTTTTAATGAAGACCATGAAAACACAAAGAATTGAAGGGAACAATGAAAACAATTCAAAATATAACAGTAGTATTCAACAAAGAAATAGAATCACTAAAGAAAACCAAAACTGAAATAAAATTGGAAATGAGAAACTCAGGAAGCCAAATAAAACCCTCAGAGGTAAGCCACACCAACAGATTAAGAGACATGGAAGAGAGAATTTCAGAGCTTGAAGATCAGGTATCGCAGACAAAGAAAATGTTGAATCTAAAACAAACCAACAAACAAAAACCAGGCACAAAACATCTAGAAAATCTGGGACACTATGAAAAGACAAAACCTACGAATAATAGGTATAGAGTAAAGAGAGAAAAAAAAAAACCTATGTCAAATGCACAGAAAATATTTTTAACAAAATTATAGAAGAAAATTCCTCCAATCTGAAGAAAGGGATGCCTATCAAAGGTATAAAAGTATACAGAACACCAAATAGACATGACTAGAAATAAAGTCCCTAGAAACACTAACTGTACAAAACAAAGAAAGGATAATAAAAGTTGTAAGGGAAAAATGAAGTTACATACACAGGGAAGCCCATGAGAATAACACCTGACTTTTCAATGCAGACTCTGAAAGCCAACAGAGCCTAAGCTGAGAGATGGTCTACTACAAGCTCTAAAAGACCACAGAAATCAGCCTAGACTACCGTACCCAGCAAAAACTATCAATCACAATCATCAGAATAAGGAAAACATTACACGATAAAAAACAAATTTAAGCAATTTTTGCCCAGTAATTCAGTTCCCCAGAAGGTACTTCAGTCTGAAGAAGTCCGTAGAAGAACTGTACACAAGAGGACACAACAACAAATAATCCCACAACTGTTCATCAAAAGAGGGGTAGAGACAAAAGAGTATACTATATGACACACCAAAGTCCCCAGTGTCATCAGGACGGATAAAGAGGTGACGGAGAGTCAGGAGAAAAGGAGAGTGGAGATTTTTCTGTTTCTGATGTGGTTTTTATTCTGTTTTGGTTTATTAGGGTTTTGTTGTTGCTGTTGTTCTTGCTTTTGTTTGCTTATTTTGTTTTCTTCTGTGGGGGAGGGGGATGCAACAGGGATGTTGAGGGGATATGAGGGACTGGGAGATGAACAGAATTGGGGTGCATGATGAGAAACCCCCAAAGATTCAATAAAGAAGTTTCAAAAAAATGAAAAAAACAAAGAGGGGTAGAAAAACACACTAGTGAAGCTCAAAAAGATAAACATGGTATGCACTTCTAAGTGGATACTAACTGTAAAGCAAAGGGTAATGAGCCTATAGTCCACAACCCTAGAGAAGCTAAGCAACAAGATGAGCCCTAAGGGGGGAAAATATATATAGAACCTACTGGGAAGGGGAAATAGACAAGATCTCCTAACAAAATTGGGAACACAGGGGTGGATGGATACCTTGCTCAGCCTAGATATGGTAAGGAGGGCCTTGGACCTTCCTCAAACAATGTGCCTTACCCACTCTAAGGAGTGGATGGGGGCGTGGATAGGAAGAGGGGAGAGAGTGGGAACTGGGATTGGTATGCAAAATAAAAAAAAATTGTTTTCTTTTTTAAAAAAATAAAATTGAAAAAAAAGAAAATATACTACCATAACAAAATAACAGGAATTAATAAATACTACTCATTAATAACTAACTAGCAATTCTCCAGGGATAAGACACAGACTAACAGATTGAATTTGAAGGCCAGATCCATTTTTCTGTTGCTTCCAAGAAATACACTTTAAATCAAGGATACACTGCCTCAGGGTAAAAGGATGGAAAAAGGTATCCGGGCAAATGGATTAAGGAAACAAGCAGATGTAGTTACCTTAATATCTGACGAAACAGACTTCAAACCAAAACTAGGCAGAAGAAATAGGGAAGAACACTACATAAAAATCTACAATATATTCATTAATGCAAAGTTTACTAACACTGCAAGGACTACTCGTTTGCATATGCTCTTAGCGAGGGAAAAATGCAAAGTGTGTATCATTTGAAGAAATGGACATTCTACCAACTAGAATATAAATATGTTTATAGAAATACACATCAAGGCCAGGCAGTAGTGGCACACGCCTTTAATCCTAGCACTAGAGAGGCAGAGGTAAGAAGAGCTCTGTGAGTTCAAGGCCATCCTGATCTATAGAGCTAGTTTCAGGACAGCTAGGTAGGGCTGTTACCAAAAAAAAAAAAAAAAAAAACCTTATCTTGAAAAGCAAACAAACAAAAATCTATTTTATTAAATATGGGAAAATAATATACCCTACTACAGATAAATAAGTAAAATCAATTAGAAGAATAGGAGTAAATAAAAGTAGCACTGAGAGCTTCAATATGAAGACAATGCAACACATAGTAGAAATTTTAACCATAAACATTTGTCAATGAAAAAAATCTCTATTCCCATTGAGATTTAAGAACTTCATATATAAATATATTTGTATCACCTACTATTATCAAGAAATTACTACAAATTTGATGGCTTAAAATAACAAAAAAATAATTGTATTACACCTTAGAGGCCAGTGTCTCAAATCAGTTTCATAAGGCTGAATCAAAGCAGAGCCATGCTCCCTTTGCAGGCTCGAGCAGAGAACCCAGGGGCCTCCTTCAGGATCTTAGACTGCAGGCATACTTTATTTAGTTCATTCACATCGTTCCAATCAATGCCTCCATGGGCATACAGTCTTTCCCTTTTCTGTCTATGTCAAATTTCTCTGCCTTTTTAGTAAAGATACTTGGGTTGCATTGAGGGCTTATCTAGACAACATCCAGGATAATCCTGCAATCTCACATGTCTGCTATATGCTAACTATGGGCTCCAGGGCTAACTATGTGGATATATTTATGAAGCCATGTTTTACACCCATTATAATAACAGCAATATTGCTAAAAAAAAAAAAAAACTAACAGTATGGATGCTCAGCAGTAAAGGCATCTGCCAACAAACCTAAGAAGACTCCAGAAATGTGAGCCTATTCCTCCGTATCTGAAGGTCAGAGAGTCTTAGCTTATTTTTGCTCTTTCAAAGTTGTTGACAGAAGGTGTGGCTATAAAACAAGATATCCTGACCTAGGGTGTGGCTACTTGGTGTTTTGGACATTAAGATGGCCCGCTCCACCCTGACCAAAAGTCAGAAAATTCAAACATACTTCTGCTCCTTCTTTTGAAATAGGAAGTATGACATAGGGAGTGGACGCCTACAGGATACTTGGTCTAGGGTGTACCCTGTCCCAGACATCAAATGCATTACTCAAAAAATAATGACTCGATGTCTCAAGTATTGAAGCAAGTAACTGTTCTGGTTGTACTCTGTGTCCTGTTAAAGCAGTCTGTTGCCTTCTCCCCTAGCTCTTTTGTATTGGGACATAAAAGTGTATGAAAAATAAACACAGGCAAACTCGGAACTCAGAAGAGAGAATTCAGCATCCAGTTCGCTGAGTTGCCCTCCCATTACTATCCTGTGTCTCTGTGTTTCTTTCTTTTCTCTGTTTCTCCTACCAACATTTCTAATCCTAATGCCCCTACCCTGGAACATTTGAGCCTGCCAACCCGCCGTGGCTAGGACCGCAGAAGTCATGCCAAAAAAAGGGGTTGGTGACACCTAACAACCTAGGTCTAGCTCCCAGGACACACAAGGTGAAGAAAACGCACCACCTTCTACACGCCATCCCCTATCCTCCACATGCACACCACAATGTACTCTGATCCGCTAAAAACAGGAAGCACTCTTAGCCACTGAAGCATTTCTTCAGCCCCAATATAAAAAAAAAATTCTGTAAACAAATTTAAAATATTATTTTTGAAACTAGAGTATTATTGTTATGACAATCTGTGTTACTCCAAATTTTAAAATTCATATAACTTACCTCCAGATCCTAACTGCTTGTAGAATCTGTATTCCAAATGCAGCTGTGGTGCTCTGGATTTCATGGGCTCCTAGGCAAACAATTGAATAAACAAAAGACATTTCAATTAAGACAAACCACTAGCTTCTAATTCCAAATGTTTTAAACTTTAGCATCAACTTATATACACTATAATATTCTACTAGGTATCTCTATTCCTCTAGATCTACACTGTACTTATGTTCAATAAATTGATACCATCTGTAAGCATATGTAAAGTAAGCATTTGAACAGCTATCAGAGGAACCAAAAGGATTTTTTTAAAAAAATAATTAAATTAAAATCACAGTTTTCTGCAATAAAAGGTAAGCACAACAAAAGAACAAAGAGACTAAGGGAAACAGAAGTTACAAGAAAAACTATGTAAGTGCATTATGAGGGAGAAAGTAGAAACTTCACATCAATAGAGATCTGAACAACACGGAGAGAAGGTCTAATAGGCAGTGATGGGGTGGAGGGCAGTGACGATCACAAGCAAAAACCAGATTCAAGAATGAGACACACAGTAGGCATGTGTGTGTGTGTGTGTGTGTGTTTGAAAGAGAGAGAGAGAGAGAGAGAGAGAGAGAGAGAGAGAGAAATACACTACAAACTTAGAATCAGAAGGATTATTTATAGCAAATGGTAAGCTTAAATCTTGAGGAGCAATAAGAGTAGTAGTTAAATGCTCAGAGATTGAAACCAAATTATACTGGATTTAAACCTTTGACTTCCCACTTCATTAGCTGTGTGGTTTGGAAAGTTAGTTAACTTTGCTGTACATTGAAGTTCCTCGTCTGCAAAATGCAGTTAACACTTGTTATGGTTCCCTCGCTCCTTTCCTCTCTATATATACATGCATATGTGTGTGCACAATATACAAGTTAATATATAAAATACTGAAAACAGTGCCTTTCACATATCACATCCATGAATTTTGACTATCTAAAAACTGTAAGATATGACATAATATTCACTTATACCATCACAACAGAAATTAAATATACATCTTAATGATTGATGTGCTTCAAGTAAAAAGAAAAGGAACCAGCCCTGACTTAGTTTAGTAATTTCAATTTGATCCTGTACTTCAATAGCAACAACACAATGTTAGGATACCACCATGTAGTGCAAGCCACATTACCAACAGATGACCTTTACAGAAGCTGGTGGAACTCGAAGCCAGCCGGGTATACATAGTGAGTTCTAGAACAGTCAGATCTAAACAGAAACTCTGTCTAAATAGATGATAGATAAATAAATGAATGATTGAGTGAATAAATAATAAATGAATAAAATAGTTCCTTGGTGCGAATTCTTCCATAGAACTACTTTGTACCTGTGACACTGAGCACTTGGAATTTTACTCCCATGACAGTTCTCCTTGCTACCACCACATTCATGGCTTTCTAAACCCTTGAAAGCCAAGCAATAACCAGCTTTACTACATTTATAAAACACCAGTAGAAACACTTCAGAAGATAATTGGAAGTGTGTGTTCAAATACAATCCTAAATGCTAAAGGTGCTTTTGTCTAAATGCTTGAATCAGTAAGAAAAATTTTGCTTTTATCCACTTAAAAATACCACTGAAAATACTGCCAAACTACAAATTTCACTTCCATAACGCTGCCGAAGTAAAGACAGAACTGTCACACAGAGAAAGCACTGACACTCTACATATCATTAGAGACACGAACAAAAGGTCAGTTAGGCAAACATTTTTCCTTCTTGAATGAATACCAAAATTATAAATGTAAAAATAAAAAAATTAATAAGCCGATAATCAAAGGAAAAAACTGTAGAAAAATAATCATGAACTTACCAGTTTAATCGCCACATATTCATTTGTGTATAAATTTTTCCCTTGAAAAAGGAAGAAATAAGTCAGATCCTGCTAATACTTTGAAATTTAACTTACATAACTTTTATGACCTGTACTCTGTCTTTTTAAAAAGTATAAGAGACATTTAAATAGCAAAAGTTTTTTCTTTCAGCTATAAAGAAAAAGAATTGCCAAATTTACTATCAACTCAAATGTATTTAATATTTCACTTAGATTCCAAGTAGAAACCGGTACTTATAAATATATTGTCCATTATAATAAAGAACACATTCTGACTGTTTTAATATTGCATGCAACTTAGAAAATAACCAATATTCAAGTGAATACTGAATACATTTTAAGCCAGAATACTTATATAAAAGAAGAATATAAATCCTCACCCATCCATCATTTCCTTTTAAACTATTATGGAATACAGTACGATCAGACCACATATTTAATCCAGCATATGTATCAGATATATGAAAACTCTGGAACATGTTTAAGATAAAATTAAGTAAGAAAACTAATCAATAATTGGCTCAAAAACTCATTAACTACCTTAAGAAAAAATTATTAGTTTTTCAACTTACAAATTAATTTCAATTTATAGTTAAATATAAGAAATGAAATAAAATATATATGGTGACCTTTCTAGGGATAAGAAAACATGAAGAACAGGATTCTATACATATCTGGCTACATGAAATACTTTAAACTTCTAAATACTGAAAATTATGTTAAATATAAAGGTATGTAAATGTTGGAACACAGGCTTAACATCACTAACATGCAAAGAATTTTTATAAACTACAATTGTCTTTGTGTTGACCATAAGCTAAGAAAATTACAATGGTCAGAATCTACAACCCCAGAAAAAACACTATGGAGAATTTGAGAGTTAATAAGGCTAGAAGGGCAATTTGAAATATCAATTAACATGTATCTTTGCAAGCACATCAAAAAGAATGAAATAAAAAAAAGAGCCATGTTGTTTCTTAATTTCTAGGCACAAATAACTACTGTAATGAAAACAGAATGACTTGTTTGTTTGTTTTTAAACCCAGAAAGTGGTTCTGGTTACAATGACTACTAAAAACAAAATAGGCAGTTTACCAATCTTCATGCACGGCGTTTTTCTGCACAGGACCCTCTGACCTTTCAGAGAGCTCCAGATGTGCCGCTGTCTTTACAGAAAGAGTATTCACAGACATATTCTAAATATTGCCCTCACAGCATAAGAATGTGTTAAGGGGGAAAACACTCACATTAAAGCTGAGTAGCATAGATCTCAGAAACTCAACACACTTGACAGATTTAACCCAGGAGAAATACCAAAAGCGGAACAAACAAAGTTTATTCTGAAACACACAAACCAAGCCTACATAACTATTTTTCAAACTTTAGAGAATATTTTATATTTTTAAGCAACTAGTTTTGCATTTAGAAATGCTTTCGTGCACATTTTCAGGAACTCGTTATGTATGAAAATGTAGGTGTCCTCTGGGAAACCTGAGTGAAGACTGTTAGTGATCTGATTTTAGACTGGTATCCTATTCACAACTGAATCAAAGATGAAAAATATATGTTTTCTCAGAGTATTATCATCTCTTTATAACTATATAAATTTTATTATGAATATATGCAGGAAAAATCCAAGACAAAAGGCTAAATATAGATCCCACAGAACCAAAACACACCAACATTTTTGTTGACTTTCATATAGTCTAATCTTTTATGTCACAGCAGAAAGAAAAATAAATAAATGAGAAAAGAAAGGAAGGAAGGAAGGAAGGAAGGAAGGAAGGAAGGAAGGAAGGAAGGAAGGAAGGAAGAAAAGAGAGTAGTTGAGTCCTAAAAAGAGCATCATCCTTGTTAATATTAGAGATCTGGCTGAACTGTGGTGATCACAGTCATAAATATGAATGAAGATTAAACAATACAGTCTTGTCATTGAGTACAGCCACAGTCCTACAGTTAGATTTTAATCAATATGTATTACACACAAAAGCAAATGGTGCACCACGTGTGTTTGTCTGTCTGTGTGATATGAGTAAGATAGAGAGGGTATAGAGAATCCCATTAAGGCTACAACTGGACTGGGCCTAGCTCATTGATAGCTTAATTTACGTCAAGTGACATTTCTAATAGTTTTCTGCGGTATTGAACCCAAAGAAGCTTTACCAATACTGTGGAATTGGAGTTATTAGAGAAAACTACGTCCTTTGGATGTTATATATTTGTTTATAGTAGGAACCACTAGTTATCCATCAGTATTAACACTGTACTTCCAATAACAAAGAATATCCAAGTTTAAAAATGGTTTTCCAGCTACAAACTACGCTTTCTAGGCTCTTTTTCAGCTTCTTGTGGCCAAATGAAAAACTTCACACTGGTGGAGATAAAGTACGATGCCTCCAATTTCCAGGACTGTAATGTGTTCCTGACTGGAAAGGAGTTAACAGCTAGGAAGATAGCCCTGCAAACACTAAAGACACACACTGAACATACAGGGTACAGTTACCCAGTGTTTGCCCTCTGTCTGTGTTATATGGAAGAGAACAAAGTAAGTGGATTAAAATTACTGTATTTGGGGACTTTTAAATTTGTTATCATAGCATCATTGTCAATTTTTAATTTTTACTTTTATTTATTCAGGCAAGGGGGGGCAGGGTATGCATGTGCAATGGAGTACATGGATGTCAGAGGCAACTCGCAGAAGTCAGTCTCACTTGTCATCATGTGGGTACCAAGGATTGCACTTAGGTCATCAGACTCAGTGACAAGTGCCTTGTGCAACACTAAGCCATCCTGCCAGCCCCACCGTCTAGTCTTTATTTTTACATTTTCCAGTGTTTTAGAATGTTTTTGCAGAAGTCAATAAACAAAAATAACAAAATTACCCAAATCTTTATGTAATGGAGATATAATGGAACTTCCAGCACCATAATTTCCAAGCCCAAAGATCAAAATAAGGAGTTGTGAGCAATACAGGAATAAGAGGAGAAAAGCAAAACTAAGAGAAGTTATTGAAACTTAATTATGTCAAAAGGTATACAGTATCTTATTTCAGATATGATCATTCATAAAGCAATATTTCTGAGGTTTTTTTTTAATGTAATGTCAATCAGGCACACCCACAAGAAAACAGAGGAGATGCTCAGGAAATAAATTATCTTTCTCTCAGAAAGCCAGGGGCAGTAGTTCTCAACCTGTGGGTCACGACCTCTTTGGAGACTGTCAAACAACCCTTTCACAGTGGTCAACTAAGACCATCAGAAAACAAACAGATATTTACATTACAATTCATAACAGTAGGAAAATTGCAAACATGAAGTAGCAACAGAAACAATTTTATGGTTAGTGGTCACCACAACGTGAGGAACTGTACTAAACAGTGCAGCATTAGAAAGGCTGAGAACCACTGCCACAGAAGACTGCAAAAGCAGCCTGCGTGTGTTAGGTGGCAGAACACAAGGACGTAAAAAAAGTTTAAGCAAAGGCCTTTATTATTAGTTTTAGGGGAAAGGCAAGACAAGATAAACAGATTAAGACTGGCGTGTCTCTACAGTTCCAATGATCTTTGGGTAGAGGGCTTGTCTCTAAAAGCATGGCACAGAATACTGTTCCTAGGTATAGAGACAGATAAAGAGACTCAAGCTGGGGATTGGATAATTCACATACCCAAGGCATTCCCCTACCTAAGTCTCTAGCAATTAATTGCTCTTTTCCTAAGAATACACCAACTATAGGAGGTACAGGCTATCCCCCAAATAAAATGGTTTTTTGTTTTTGTTTGTTTTTTTTTAACATATTCAAAGAAGACTTCTGGGTATTTCAGAGGACCTGAGTTCAACTCCCAGGATCCACATGGCAGTTTACAACCATCTGTAACTCCAATCCAGTAGATTTAACACCCTCTTCTAACCTCCACAGGACAGCACATACTTGGGGCACTGACATACAGACAGGCAAAACTCCTACACAAATTAAAGGAGAGGATAGGGGCTGAGGTAGAAGCCTTTGCACTGAAACTAACCTCACCAGACAATGAGGCTGAAGAAATCTTTGGATAATTTAGACAAGGGCTCTCACCTGCCCCTCCCCTACACAACACCAATACAGTGCTAGAGCCAGAGGGATCTGAGACACCTCACCTTTCAATTGAGCCCAACTCAGTTAATAAATTAGTGCTGGTATCAATATTAGTTCAGAGATGCTTAATGTTGCAGTGAGCTGTAGTTAAAGCCAGTGGCTGAACTAAGTGAAATGAAGTAACTGTTGAGTATAACTTCCCTAAGTCTTAGGGCTCAGAGGACATGGAGGAAAAGGGGCAGAGATTGAAGAACCTAATAATTGGGAAGAGTGCTATGAAATGCTGCCTTCTGGACAGGACAACACATGACAACGGCACTCATCAACTCACAGCAACTGAGGTTGTCTTCCTAAGACCTGCACAAGTTGAAGCCATGAGCATGACAGCATGAGTGGGAGGGACCCATAAGGACTCCCTGGCTGAGGAACTGCTGGCAGTAGCGAGGATAAGGGAAAGCATTTCCTCAGTGAGATGTATCCACTAGTAAGCTGTTCATGCCTAGTTAATGACCCCACACAGGCACAGGCACAAAGCCACTCTATTCAAACCCAGTAGGGGTATTTTCTAAAATGAAATCCATGGGAGTAAGAGGGGAAACTGCTGGGAAGAGTACAGAGGCACTTGGAAAGAACATGAGAGGTGTGTGGGGATCAAAACACATTTTAACAATATTCATGAAATTGTTAAAGAATTTTAATTATTTTTAAAAGATGTCCAAAGATCATAAGAAACAAAAAATGTTTTAAATACACAATAGAATCCTACTATCTTGGCTAGCTATGTTTGAAGTATTTGTTATGTATCAAAAACAGTTCTAGGGATTCTGAATTGCTTAAACTTGAAATCTATCTACCAACAGTCAAAAAATGCAAATTGTACTGACAACAGATGAAGACGAAAGAAAACAGCAAATAAATTGATCTATCATTCAAAATAAAGATGTTTAAAATGTTGACTTAAATAAAATTTAAATTTAATGCTTACAACTTTGTGTGTTTTTTAATCTCAATCAGTCCTTTTCGAAAAACTAATAACCTGTAAGAAGAGTTTCCAGCAATGCACAGCACTCTCTCTCCATGGAGCAACTATGCATGTGATGGGGCTGGGGGCATCTTCGAGTTCTACTTAAAGTTACAACACATCAAGGTATCAAAGAGGTATCGGGTAGCTAAAGTATCCTACGAGGTAAGAAACAGCTCTCTAATTAATAAATAAATAAATAAATAAACTGGGCATCCTTGTTGAAAATAAGCACCTTTCTTGAAAAGCACTTACCTATAAAAAGTCTCATAGTCTTTCTTACTCAAATACCACACACACATACAAATTAGTATAGAAAATCAAATGTTCAGGATGCTTTATTAATGTGACTTTAATAAAAAAATACTTTAAGGATCCAAAGCAGGACTGGAGAGATGGCTCAGCAGTTAAGAGCACTGGTTGCTCTTCTGCAGTACCTGAGACCAATTGCCAGCACTCATATGGTGGCTCACACCATATGTAATTTTAGTCTCAGAGTTACAATAACTTTTTTTATAAACAGAAACCATGGAGGGCTTTGAAAAGAAAGTAATAAACCCCTCAGAGGTCTCTGAGTAAGAAAAATTAAAATGACTAACTTAGCTCTGTATATGGATATGGATATGGTATATATATGGAAAATACTTAGATATCCACAAAACAATGGCACACATAGAAAGAAAGATATATTTACTTGATATATATGGAAACACTTCCCCCTAGAGAGGGGAATGAAGCATGAAGCTCAGGAAGTAAATGATCTAAATCCTAGAGCTGCAGCTTTCAAACTCACAAGGTCCCTCCCCAAGGTTAAGTTTATGGAAGCAAAAAATAGATGCTAAAAGAAGGGCCTCCCCCATTAATGAGCTGTGAGAAGGGCATGCTCCCAACCTGCCAAGCTGCCTGGGAGTTAGGCAGATCTCTGGAAATGCAACTTTTTCTGAGCTGGCACCCACACAGGGTGGGCTTTTCAGTGATGCAGCTGCCTTTGAGTCATACTGGCCTATCACACAGACTACTAAAATTAACACCAATAAAATCTTTGGTTAACCAAATTAGAATTTCATAGAATTGTGTCTTTGCAGGAAAAGTCTCAGACTATAAGTTATTATAGTATTCACTTGACTTTTCAAGATATACATATATATATATAATAATTTAAACAAATATGTAAGTATCATACATACATACACAACACACTTAGAGTCTACATAGGCACTTGATTGGATAAGATTAAAGATCCTAAGCCAGCACATTGTATTTACTTTTGCTCATTCACAGATACACAGAAGGGAATGCCCCACAATATACAGTATAACTTTATAAACAGATCATGGACACCATGTCTCATATTGTTCTGGTTAAGTTGGCCCACTAAAATTGTTCTATATGAATACACATATATACAGAGTGTATATTATAAGAATAGTTATTTCTAAATTATGGAGAAAACTGTAATAAAAACAACCAAAGCCTTTATAGGTGTGGCAGGTCCTTCTGTCTATGTGCTGCTTTTATTGGTTAATGAATAAAAAAACTGCTTTAAGCCTATAGCAGAGCAGGCCAGAACAGCTAGGCAGGGAAAACTAAACTGAATGCTGAGAGAAAGAAGGCGGAGTCAGAGAGAAGTTATGTAGCCCCTGCCAGAGTACAACTTTACTTTGTAAGCCACAGCCTCATGGCGATACACAGATTAATGGAGATGGGTTAATTTAAGATATAAGTTAGCCAGAAATACACTTAAGCTATTGGCCAAACAGTATTGCAAATAACATGGTTTCTGTGTGATTATTTCAGGGCTGAGCAGCCAGGAACAAACAAGCGGCCTCCTACAACACTATATAGATATTATATTAGCTTTTATATTATACTCTAAATTTAATATTTATAATAACCTAGGAAGAGATTCATGAACATTTTTCAGTATATAATCCATGTTAAGAATTAGATGGATAATCTCAAACTTTGACAGAAAGTAATTAACCTAGTTTCTCTGACTCCCAAGTAAGAACACTATCTTTAAAAAATAAGCCACAAAATATTTGCCCTTTCAAAGATTTTAATCCCTACTAAATGTAAAAGAATCTGTCAACTACATTGTTTATAGCTATGTACAAAGAATGTACGTAGCTTTTATTAGCTTGTTTCTTCATTCATATTTAATGTTCATTAGCAACACAAAACAAATGAAAGAGACACTACAAATTAGAATATTTTAAAAAATAGTAAGAAATAGCTCAGTAAAAACATACAAATCATTTTATTTTCAACAAAGAGTGGACCCAGTGAAAACTGTGAAATTATTTTTTCCCCTCAAGGTCATAGTCTTGGTGATTCAATGAGGTGAGTCCTTAATGTACCTAATTACCTTACTACTGATTGCTGTGATACCATGCCACATTCCTTGTTACTTTTCAATGGAGACAGACTCTCTACTACACTACGAGTAGAAAGATTGAAATTTCACATCTAAACCTGTCACTGAACTCTCTGCGGCATTCAGTAAAGTGCCTTCTCTATGGAGCCTCAGGTTCCTGAAGTGGACAGTTTAGGAGCTTCAATAAGCACAGCATTTCCCAAACTATTACAGCATGAGTAGGTAGATAACGCTGAGATTCCTGTTAAAGAAACGATGCTGAACCTTACCTCAGACACAGTAGGGCAAAGGAAAGGGAAGAATGGTGCAGAGAAACTAGCTATTATAACAAGTAAAGGTTAACTTTACATAGTATCTTGACTTTGAGCCACATATATGACTCTAAAGTGATCAGTTACTAAACGTTTTGAAATACAAAAATGAAACCTAAATATCTCCCCATATTATACTATACAACAAAAGACTTACTGGAAACTATGGCCTTTGTAAAATTTTATTTACTTATTTTTATGTGTATGAATGTTTTGCCTGCATATACATACACACATACATAATACATAATACATACATACACACACGTGTGCATTATGCACTTGAGCCTGATGCTCAAGAAAATCAGAAGAATGCACAGGATCCCCTTGAACTGAAATCACAAGTGGTCGTGAGCTGCAATGTGGTGCTGGGAATCAAACCTGGGTTCTCTGGAAGAGCAGCAAGTGCTCTAATACCACTCAGCCACCTCTCCAGCCCCTGCATGAACTTTTAAATTTACTTTTTCTTGTTTCCTCACATTCTTAAGAAATGAGAATGGTTAATCTCAAACAAATAGACATCTAGATACTAGGGAATTTCGTACAAATGAAAGTACAAATAAATAAGAAATTTCCAACACCTATATTCTTTATAACCAGTACTTTGAGAAAGCATGGTTCAACTAAAGCCCCCAATGTATACACAAGGAACTTAAACACTAAAGAAAGTAGTCTTACAAGTGTATTTCTTTACAAGTGTATCTTTACATAACGTAACAAACAAGCAGTCTTACCTAATCGTAATTCTCCAAAATTGCCACATCCAATTTTTTTCCCAACTCTAAAGTTAGGTCCAACCATTAAAACTCCAGAGGAAGAAGAGCCAGTTCCTCGAGTGCTGTGTCCTGATCGACCACTGGGTCGTGCCATTCTATCATCAGATTTGTCCTTGTCTTTCTTTTTATTATCCATATCAAGTTTGCGGTACTCCACTTTGAATTCTTTAATCAAGACAAGCACAATGAAATGGGCACTGTAAGAGTAGGTGCATCACTAGGTGAGAGTACGCGATGAGCAGCGTCAGCGTTCAAACTCCAGCCGATAGTCAGTCAGCTGAGGCGTGTTCATCCCATTCGGACAACTGTTCGCAGCTGTCTTCTCAGCAAAGTACGCCTTCAAAATTATCTTCTCAGGGATCGAAGCTGGTTTGATAGAGAGCTGTGACATTAAAAGGAGAAAACTGTCAACAAAGATGACATATATATTTAGGAAAATGAATGATAAAAGCTTAGGTTACCTGTTGAGGCCCCAGAAATCAAAGCACAGTAGACTCTTAAATGAACCATTAATTTTTGTCTATACATTAATACCAAATATCATTTAAAAAAAACAAATTTAACTTTTTAAAAAAATTGTGAATTTGGGAGGGAACTGGGAGGGGAGGAGGTGAAAATTTTTAATAATAATAATAATAAAACGTGAAAAAATTGTGAATTTGAGTGTACATGTGATATACATGTATGTGTATGAATGTTTATATGACCATGAACATATGGGCACACGTGTATATATACAAGTATGTATGGAGGCCAGAAGTAGAAATCAGATATTTTATCAGTTTTTGTTGCTATGATAAAATATCATAATCAAAATCAGCTTATAGAAGAGTTTATTTTGGCCACAGTGATGAGGAATACAAGGCAGCAGGTGGCCCAAGCCAGCGGTTAAGAGATTATATCTCAAATGTAAGTAGCAAGCAGAGAAAACAAATTATAATTAAAGTAAGACTAAAAACTCTGTAAGCCTGCCCCCAGTGACACACTTCCTCCAGCAAGGCTAGACCACCAAAGAATTTTGTAACCTCCCCAAACAAAACCACCAATTGGGGACCAAGTGTTCAAACAATTGTGCCTATGGGAGCCGTTTGCATTTAAGTCACCACAGGTGTCTTCCTTAATTACTCTCTCTCTCTCTCTCTCTCTCTCTCTCTCACACACACACACACACACACACACACACACACACACACACACACCTACTCAGTGCTCATGGACTAGCCAGGCTGACGGAATGACAAGCTCCAAGGGTCCCCTGGCTCTGCCCCTTTCCAGTGATAGGGTTATGGAGGCACACGTCATACCCGGCTTCTTAGAGGAGTGTTCGGGATCCAAACTCAGGGCCCCACACTTGTGCAAGAGCTTACTTTTCCACTTGAGCATCTCCCTATCCCCAACAAACACAAAACTTAAAAATCAGGGACCTGGTTGTTTTAAAATAACAAAGAAGAAAAGGTACTGAACGTTTCATAAAACAACATCCATTGATTAGACCAGACATTCCCACTTAAAAGTTACTGCAGTAAGAAAAAGGAGGACTCAAAGTCTGAGAAATATAGCTATTCTATTTAAAAGCAGAAAAACAACACACACATTTTAAAATTTTTAAATCTTAATTACTTTTTTCACTCTTGTACACTTAATTTTTACTTTTCAAAAGTATGTTTTCATTTTGTCTTCATTTCAAAAGTATATTCTCATTTACTCAAATATTTATTATCCTTCATATATAGAAAAGAGTCACAAAACTGATAGTACAAAAACACAGTCTTTGGATCTCTCAAGGAAAATAATTTTTATGTAACACTCAAACTAAGCCTTTAAAAAAAATAATTTCACAAGGATAAGAGATGTTGGAGAAGATGTAACATGAGGGCCGGCTTGTTGGGGTTTCCGTCCCGCCCGGTACCCCAACAGCCGGCAAATCCCAAAGAGAAATTACACACAGGACTCCATAAGATTATAAACTGATTGGCCCATTTGGTCAGGCTACTTATTAGCTCTTATAACACATATTATCCCATTATCCTTATCTATTTTAGCCATAATGGCTCCGTACCTTTCTCATTGTGACAGCTTACATGTTGCCTCTTCGGTGGTCTGTACAGGAGTGGCTGAGGAAGCTCTGCTTCCAGAATGCTCCCAGTCTCTTTGCTCCACCCCTACTTCCTGTCTGGCTTTCCCGCCTATACTGCCTGCCTGGCCAATCAGCGTTTTATTAAAATACATGATTGACAGAATATAGATAATTCTCCCGCACCAAGAAGATAGGTATAAAAGTTTCCTTTAGAGACAGGGGTTTTATTATGTACCACACGCTGGTTTCAGACTTGCAATCTTCCTGACTCAGACTCCCATCCAAGTTCTAGCATTACATATACCACCATGCCTAGCTACATGTATTGAGTTTTCCAATATACAGATGAAACCACTAAAGCATTAAAAAGTGCAGGAGACTTTTAAAAGAGCAATCACATACTTCCTTTAGAAATTTAGCTAGCAAATACATGTGAACTCTGCCGTTAGTCCGGCAGATATCGTAGATGAACATCTACTTTCGTACAAGCAATCCAAGCAGGCTTCCACGCCTTGCAATAACAGTTTCAAGCTAGGCTGTGGTGATACATGTCTGAAATGCCCTTATTGGGCTCCATAATAAAATAAGGAAGAACAGAAGACCTCAAAACATAGCTTTTAAAAATATCTATAAATCAACACAATCCCAAAAAACTGGTGAGTCTGTTTTCTAAACTGATACGCCTGCGCCTAAAGTTATTGTAAAAATGCAGAATCTAGAATAAACTCAAACCACAAAAACAAAATTAAATATACAGTACCTAATGCCAAGGCTTATTAGAGAGCTACAGTAATCAGAACAATGTGGAACTACTACAGAATAGGTAAGTGAAACAGAAGAGTCCCAAACAGAGCCACATAGATGCCCAGCTGATTTTCCACTAAGATATCAAGTCAATTCAAAAGTGACATGGGTCACAACAACTATACATCTGTGTGTGGAAAAAAAAGAACCTTGATTCAATCCATGAAAGAATAGTATGTAATGAATCATACCTCTAAACACAAAAAAATGAGAACCATAAAGGAAAATAGCTTTGTAAGCTTGTGATATATATAAAGGAAAAATAAGATAAAAAGTTAATAAATAGAGCTGAAGAAAAAAAACAAAAATTACGAGAAATTAGTTCATATATTTATGAATATGCATTAATACACTGCAATTAAGTAATAAACTTTATTTTTATGCAAAACATAAATATATTTTCCACAAGGAATGTTAGCAAATAGCCAATAAATATATGAAGTCTTGATTATCATATTCACCATAGAAATACAGATTAAAACCATAAAAGTATCATTTCATACTCATAAGTATGGCAAAACTTTAAAAGATTACCAGTAGCAAAGCTAGCAGAAATTAAGAACAAGCATGTCTGTCCTTAATTTCTGGTACAAGCATAATACAGTATGACAAGGAACCAAGTTTGACAGTTTCTTAAAAAGGAAAACGTATATTTATCCTATGACCTATCAATAAAACAATGTATTCAGGAAGATCTGTCACCATTTTTTATTGTAACTTCATTTATAATAACCAAAACTGAACATAATTAAAGTGTTCTCAACAGAAGAATAAGCAAGTTGGCATATTCATATAACAGAATACTATTTGAATCATGAGTAGGTTGAAAGACATCAGACACAATGAGTTATAGTCACAGAAATCCTAGAACCAGCAGAATTAAGCTACAGGATTAGAAATCAGAACCGAGGTTTACCAGGTGGAGGATAGTTCACTAGAAAATAGCATGGAGGAACTTCCTTGTGGAAGCATATATCCTGTACCTTCATTAAGAGGAGCACAGGCAGCTATATACTTGTCAATGCATAAAACTACATCTGAAACCTGTGCATGGTGTTATATGTACATTGTGCCTCAAAATGTGGCTTTTAAAATAATAGTTGGGCTGACTGAATGACTCAGAGGGTAACAGTATAGTGCTCCAACCCCCATAAACTTCCCTCTGACCTTCATATATGTGTGCGCACAAATATATATATATATAAGTTAAAATAAATATTAAAAAACAATGCCCATTCACAAAACAAAAATTTAGTAAAATATCTCAAAGTATATTATAATATCCCCTTTATTACATAAATTTACATAAAAGTTTACCTTAAAATGTAGCTCTTTTAAATAGTTAATTAGCTGTTAACTATTAACTAACATAATAGCAATATTTTTGAATTTTTAAAACAAAAAGTCTCTGCTTTTTTTTCCATTTAGAAGAAAATTATTTTCTTTTGGAAAAATTTTGTATTTCTGATATATAGCTTTTCATTTATGTTTAAACAGTGAGCTACCCAAAACCATATTCTACATATAAGAAACCAAATAATCTACAAATGAAGTAAAAATGTTCCATAGATATTTATACATTTCTCACTCCTCAACCTATTTGCCCTTCCCTTCCTCTCAGTTACTGAATGTGTCTTTTAGGTAAAGCCTATGTATGCATAAATATGTATAGAAATACTTGTAGACTGTTCTGTCTGTGTAAGAGGTGCATAGGAAATCTTCCAAGAACACAAACTGTTCCACAATAGAAAGAGAATGTAAAAGAGTATCATTAAATTAAAGATACTCTTTAAAGAGTATTGTACTCTCTCCCTTTCATAGCCTTCCATCCCTCGTGAACCCTAGCACAGGGTATTCAGCATGATGGAGGACAGCAAGGCCAAGAAACAGCCCTAAATTTCTTCCCTGTAGAGGGGCCCAGAAAATAGGCCCACACCTGAAACTGGGAAATCAGGAGAGAAACAAGCAGCAGTGAATTAGCTTAAAATGGAGCCATAAAAAAATGAATTTTCTGAATAGATAAAAACAAAGCAATGGAAACTGACTAGGAAATCAATCATTCATGACAGGTAAGGAGGACAAGTCAAAGTTTGACAACAATGGCCACTAAGAAACTAACACATCTGTTACCTCACTCACTTCAGAACAGTCCAGGAACTATTCATAAACTTATAATACAGAATTCTTATTTTTAAAACTATTTTTAAGAAATTAAAATAGTTTAAGACTTTTGGGTCCAGGGCTGGATGGAGAGGTGGCTTCACGAGTAGAAGCACGTGTTCCACCAGCCTTAGGACCTGAGTTTGGATTCCCCAGAACCTATGTAAAACCCAGTCAATGTATTATCTTAATCCCAGCACAGGCACTTATGGGGAGAAGGGTTAACCAGCCTGGTTATGCCAAGGTAAAGAGGCCTGTCTTGAACAAGGTAAAATGGCAAAGGTCAACACTGGAAGGTGAACCGTTGACCTCCACACAGGCACCATGGCCACACACAAAGA